TCATCTAATTTTTTATTATTTATTTTTTTACTTTAATATGAGCAAAAGAATAAAAGAAGAAAAACTAGATGTAAAATGTAAAGGTCAAGGAAGATAAATTCATGGAAAATTCTTGTGAGTACCATGAAGTAACCGAACATGCCTCATCCTCTGGCTCTGTAGCCAGTCAGTTTATGGATACATTCATCTTCATGCATGAATTTAAACAGAAATCACCAAGAGTCAATCTATTGCATAGCACTTTCTACGGAGAGTGCACATTTATATTGTCATAGAACTCTTTTATTAGATACAGATTTTGTAAGATCAAGAACAAACCAAAGACAAAACAGCCCTTACTGACAGCTCAGCTGCTTAAATGCCACCACTTAGACTATAAAGCCAAATTTTATCCTCTTTTTATGAAACAAGGGATAATTTCACAGAGGTCAAGGAATCTGCGCTTTCTAAGGCCACCTTTGAACTATCTACATGTGCATAAGGTTCAGCAGGGCTCCCAAATCACACAGAGAGAGCTTCTTGGACTGCAAGACAAATACAACTCTTAAGAATTAGACAATGAAGAGCATTAAGGTTGTGCTGAGGTACAGCTCCAACCTCTCACCGTACATTACAAAACTCTCCCTGCTGAAAACCACAGCACTGTTTGGTAAAGGGAAGGGGAAAAATCCTCCTTGTTGAGTTTTTAGCTACATCCTTTAATGGCCTTTTGGAACACACAGATACTAGAGCACAGCCGGGACTAGAGGGGGTCGAGCTCGTTCACCAGCTCACTATCTCATTTACCCCTTCCTACCCTCCCACACACACCTCTCTGAGGAAAAGCAGCAATGGAACAGCCGTGGGAACGGCAGTACCTGCTCTGTGCAGCTCCACTTCCCATCCTGCCCGAACTCCAAAGAGTACCAAAAATGCAGAGTCACCACGAGGCCCCTCTGCCCACGGCCTGCAAGTGTTCGAGGCAGATGTCACAACATTCTACTGCTTGTGCAGGGAGGGGAAGGGAGGGAGCTCGCTTATCAGGGAGGCAAGAGGAAGAATTGGCTTTTATAAGACCAGCTGATAAAATGAAAAAAGACACAGAGTCAGCTGCTGGCACATGAGCCCTTCTTCAGCTCTGATGCAGGGGTGGCAATCATTGCGCTAAGTAAGAGGACATGCTGAAATTAGATACAGGCTGTTACTGTGTGACCGTAGCTCCACAAACTCATCCTCACAGCACCAGAACGCCTAGAAATAACTTTAATGGTCAGCTCAACAACACAGCAGGATCGGTGCTGCTCCAGTCATTTCTAAGAAAAATCAACCTAACACACTCTTTAATATCCTCAATAAAGGAGACACATGTTTTCCTCAACATGGTCAATTATACTGCTTAATCTCATTTTCCATTAGATGCTTTCCTTCACTGTCTAACCTAAATCTCTCTGTTGTGATTCCAGGGAAAGAAACAACACCAAAACTGTATCAGAGAGCTCAATGCATAGAGAGGAAATTGGGATCAATAATAAAGAAGGGGTCAGAAGAATAACTGGCTTGATCTGAGAACACCTACAATCACTCACTTTATGGGGACATAAAGCAATAAATTGAGAAGTACCAGGCTAGCAGATCCACATGTCATACAGCAAAAAGATTCAGCAGAAATTAAGCTTTTGGAGAAAGAACGGAGCACAATACTGACCCTTCAAACCAACAAAATCTGAATCCCTGGCAGTAGAGGTCAGAAGGGAGGAGCATGGATTTGTGACTCACTACACTGGAGGAGGTTCCCTCCAAGATACGCCCTCCCACCCTTTCCTGGATGGTCCTTCCTCCTGGGAGGCCAGCTTGGATGAGGCACATCAGAACCGGACCCAGAAGTACCAGGCATGGAATCACTGTCATTCATCTCCAGCCGAGCTGTTGCCCACACAGGTGCATGTCTGCTTTGTGCTAATGAGCAGTATCATCAGCTTGGAGCAGCCATCTGCAACACCACACCACGCTGTCAAACTACAGCTGATGCAATCTGTGCTGGGAGCAAATCCTTCAGGAGCACAGAAATCTAGGCCTTGGGAGCGGCACTCCCTTGCTGTGACCGCCGTGCTGGATGCACTGGAGGAAGTGCAGTACTGGGGGTGTATTCCCCTCCGCTGGGGCTGTGATGGGGACCTGGATGCAGGGCTCCACGCCCCGCACGGGCCGCGGGAGGAGCGGGGACCCCCAGAGCGCGTGGGGGTCCACCCAAGGCCTGACAGGAGCCCGCTGGACCCCCGGTCATATCCCGCCGCAGAGCACGCCGGGAGTGCGGCCACAGCCTGGCCCAGCACCCCCATTGTCCCCCCGGCACAAAGAGCGGCGGGGCGGGGCCGGGGCAGCCCCGCGTGACTGACAGCCCTCACTGCCAATGAGCGCAGGTGCTGCCGCGGCGGTCCCGCCCCGCTCCAGCAGGTACCAGAGGGTCGCCCCGCTGACTGACAGCCGCCGCAGCCAATGGGGGCGCGCCGCCCCTCCCCGCCAGTGGTAGCCCGGCGGTGGCGGGGGCTGCGCCCCCCAACGCGGGGCAGAGGCCCCGCCGCGGGTGAGTGGCAGCCGCCCCAGCCAATCGCGGCGCGCCGAGGCGCGGCGGCCCCGCCCCCCGAGGACGCCGTGCGGCGCTCTGCGAGGGCCAGAGGCGGCGGCCGGGCCGGCTGGGGGGGGGTGGCGGCGGCGGGCGGGGCGCGGCCAGCCCCGATGACAAAGGGATTGCGGGCCCTCCCCGCTCCCCCCGGTCCCGGGACGCGCGGGCGGCTGCACTCACGTTGTCTATCACGACGGGCTGGTTTGCTATCACGTCGTAAGACTCCATGGCGAGGACCCGCCGCAGCCGCCCGTCAGGGAGCAACAGCCCAGCCCTCGGCGACGCATGCGCGGAGCGGGGGCGCGGCGCCGCCTGGGTGATGTATTCCCGCTGCCGCGGTGCCTGCCGGGAGTTGTAGTCCGGTGCAAAGCGACACTCGGTGAGGCGACGTTCCTGTCGCGGAGCATGCCGGGAGTTGTGGTCCGGCGCCGGGAGAGGGGCGCGCCGGGAGGCGGAGTTCGGAAAAAGGAAGTGCTCTGGATACATCCACGGCCGGGAAACCGGTGGATGTTGCGGTCCAAGGGGGAACTGGGCACTTCCACCAAAAACGCTACATCACAATTGGCGGGTTTCCACCTAATAGATTTTTGCACGCTAATTTTTTCTAATAAGAAGGGAGAAAAAGGTGATCCCATCAACTTCTGGAGAGGGTATCTATGACTAAGGAAAGTGTTTTATTGTCCCATCATTTCATGGGATTATCTCTACAAACTGCTGGTCCTAACACATCTGTTGCCTCCGAGAAATGCCAGTTTCTCTGCATTTTTGAGGCACGGCAACCACAAAAGAAGTGCTGGCATAAAGGATGCACATCACAGATATTTTGGTGTTGAGCGATGTGTTTCCTGTTGTTTTTCATTGGCTACATGTTCTAAAAGCACTTGAAATGATCGATGACTGAAACATGGGGTCTTGAAATTAATTAAAATGAACTTCCATGTCAGTGAGTGCACCTGAAGGCTGATTCAGAACTCACCTGTCCTGTCACACATCTCTCCTGCAGATATGGACTTTTCTCCTGTCATTCCTGCCTTTAGCCCAAGCAGACAATCACAGAATTACAGAATAGACCAACTTGGAAAGGAGCCACAAGCATCGTCGAGTTCAGCTCCTGGCCCTGTACAGGACCATTCCCAAGAGTCACACCATGTGCCCGAGAGTATTATCCAAGTGCTTTTTGAATTCTGTCAGGCTTCGTACTGTGACCACTTCCCTGGGGAGCCTGTTCCAGCACCCAACAACCCTCTGGATGAAGAACCTTTTTCTGATATCTCCCTGAGGCAACTTCAGGCCATTCCCTCAGATCCTGTCACTGGTCACCACAGAGAAGGGATCAGTGTCTGCCTCCCCTTTTCCCCTCATGAGGAACTTGGAGGCTGCAATGAGGTCTCCCCTCAGTCTCCTCTTCTCCAGGCTGAGAGTCTAATCTCAGATATTTACCTGCAGGGATCTTCACCATTCGCCTACTGTAAAAGAGGGCCAGCAGTGTAGAGGGGTTTAAATTATTTCAAGGCCAGTGTTGCATCACCTCAGTGAATGCCAGGAGACATTTGTTATGTGTATAGGACTATAAAAACGAAACAACCACACGCTTTGCAAGTGTAGTTTTAGGTCGGGAATGAGCCAGACCGTCACTGTGCTTCGCACACGGGTTTCCCGTCCCCATGAGGGAGCCCCTCGACCACCACCCATCGCATCGCCCCGCCCACCTGCGTAACCCCGCCCCTGACGGCATCTCGCCCCGCCCCCCGCGGTGCCCCGCTCCACCGCTAGAGGGCGCGCTCGCGGCGTGGCGCGCGA